TCTCCTCCTCCTATCACCCCTAGTTAGATGGACAGACCGAGGTCACCAACAAAACTCTTGGGAGTATCCTCAAGAAGTTTGTTGAGAATGACTCTGATTGGGATCTGCATATTGTTCACGTAGAGATCACTTACAACCATACTATTTCTCCTGCCATTGGCATGTCCCCCTACTATTGTGACTTGGGATATCACCCTCGTGTCCCATCTGATCTTCTTCGTCCATCTCAGATCCATCCCGACACCAAATGTCGAGCAATCGACGAGTGGGTAAAGGAGATGGATGCGCTTCTTAGCAAGGCTCGAGAGAGCATTGCTAACTCCCAGACTCGTATGACGACTCACGCCAACCGCTCCCGCATTGACCATCCCTTCAAAGTTGGTGAGCCCTTATCGACACACGTCACTTCCATCCCGAAGCGGACACGCTTCGAAAATTCAAATGTCGATATATCGGACCATGCACCATTCTTGCACCCGCCGGACCCAATCACGACTGTCCGATGAGCTTCAAATTGAAGCTCCCCGATTCCATGTACCGCGCTAACTTACATGACATGTATCTCTTTTGCGCCTCTTCAGACGATCTCCTCTGGAGTTTCACGGTTGACCTTACCCTCGCCCCTCCCCCATCATCACTGAGGGTCACGAGGAGTTTGTCATCTCTGATATTGCGTCCCGGCGTATGATTGATGGTGACCTTCCCGCCCCAAGTATCTCGTTCGATGGAAGGGTTACCCAAACGAGGAGTCTACTTGGGAGCTTGTCGAGCACTTGAAGCATGCTATGACTTTCGTGCGTGCTTATGATCATGCTCGTTCAACCCCTTCATCATCATCCCCTCCTACTTCTCGTCCTTTATCGACCCATCTACTTCAGCTATCGCTAACATTCCCCCTCCCCCACCGATGGGTCCTCCTGCTCCACTGGTACCTGCCTCAGGTACTTCCCCCGTGGATGTGGTTCCGCCTGTTATTGCAGTTGATTCCTCTCGCCCTCAGCATACCCATCGACTTCCTTCTCGCCATTGTGGCTGATATATACCCCCTATACATTTTCTATCTTTCACCATTCCTAGACACTTATGCAGCCGCTCCCGGTTTCGGATTCTACATTCGGTTTCTACATTCGACTTTCGACCTCAATGCTTCTCTTTAGTACCAGAGTACATGTCGCATCGTTCCGGACTTCCACTCAGTCCCTGCACTTCTCCTACTTCATCCTGGCTACTTCGACTCGGCTTTAGTCTGGAGACTCATCAGTTGGACTACTTCACTTTTTCGGCTACGGAGTTCCCATCATTCCCATTTATCCATTACCCTCGAGTTTACCGTCCAGTTGCATAATGACTCCTATTTTTCTTGTCTATGTGGGTGTGTTCGTCTGGCGCCCTTCTGCCTTACCCTATGCTGTGCGCCCTTTTCTTTGCTCGCGGCTTTTGGCCACATGTCTATGCGGGCATAACCCTCTCTCCTTCCAGGCTCACCTTATGTGTGCTCCCTTGTGTGAGTGCTCTTCCCCTTTCAGCTGGCGGTACCCGTTTGATGATTTCCATTGAGGCCGGTGTCGTGTTGTTACTCTCCCACTGAGCCTGACGACCCTTACCTGGTTGTGTGGGTGCCCCCTTGGAGTTTACTTTATGAGCTGTACCTGCCGCCTTCCCGCCCATTCCTACGTCTGCCATGCGACTAAGTTCCCTTTGCTTTTGTTCAGGTATTGTGCATTGTGTACAGGGCACTTCAGACTGTGCCACATTCTTTTTTGACTTAGGACATTACTTAGTTATTCTTTGGCCTTTAGGGCCCTGGTGTTGATTTATATTCAGCCACTTTGGCTAAGGGGACATTTTTCTCTTTCTTGGCCGACACAGGTCAGACATTGTTTTGCTTTTTTTTGTGGGTCGACTCAGACCAGACATTGTTGCATAGATCAAGCTTGAGGCTTAGTCTGCATTGCATCTCTTTTCCTGCATGGAGCTTGCTCCGCATCTAGGATTGTTTCCTTTGCTGTTCCTTTTGGGTTTTCGCTATTTCAGCGGATAGCGTGTTTGATGTATCGCTTGATCCATTCACAGATCCGAGGATCGTGTAGCGGTACCCCTACGGCCCGGTAGTGAGACCGGACCAGTTTCAGGCCATCGGCCGGTACCAGGTTATTCCCGTACCTGGACCTAGGCCTGCATATCACTTCAGCCCAGGCCCAGGTCCAGGGGCAGTTGGTTCATTCATTCTTGGGTTCGTTCATTCAGTCAGATTGGACCTTCACTCAGCTGCTGCTTCTGGTGTGTGTCCATCTCCTCTCTCTCTCTCTCTCTCTCTCTCTCTCTCTCTCTCTCTCTCTCTCTCTCTCTC